CTGCTATGCTTAGTTGCTCGTCCTTCTGGATTCTTGGAACCATGGGATCTTAGTATTTCCTCATTAGGCCATTGGTATCTTTCAGCTTTTCCACTGTCTACATCCCAATGCAAAATCATGCCATCTTTGGAAGCAGAAAAGCCCTTTGAGTCATCATCAGAAAGGCATATAGCAGTAACAGATTGCCGATGCTTCACTAGGATCTCAAATCCATCGACACTCTCTGGCTTTTGAACCCTAGGTACTCATGAATGTAAGCATTCTAAACAAAAAACACATGCATGCCATCACAGTATATAATACATAAAAAGATTTCTTTTAAAGTCCCCTGCTTTAAGACATTAACAGAAAAAAAGTATACATTGGCTTTCAAAAAAACTCTCAACGCAACCATTAAATTTGATTAGCCCACATCATCTAAGTAGCACTCTAGAAAAATCCCAATTAAGCTTTAGCAAGTTAAGTAAAACAATCAATCAATAATAGAAAAGGTATACAGTTGGAGAGGTTTGTGCAAAGTTCAAATTTTGCAAATTTGCAAATTAAGAGACAGATCATCAAAATGCTGCAAGATAACTCTTTTCAAATACCAAAAAAATGTGTGGCTGCTTGAAAACTCGCTCGAGGATTCCATTTGGCCGCAAAATCAAAACAAACGATACAAATAATAACATAGAAATAGTATAGTAAATAAAAAACCCAGAATTGTTTAATTCTTAAAATTCATAAATTGCAAAAAAAAAAAAAAAACTGCATATACAAAAGAAAAAAATTGTACCTAGAAGCAATGGCTCTCCTCAAACGACCACTATCCTCAAGCTGTTGCTGCATCAATTTCTTAGCCACAAAAGAATCCCTCTCACCTTCCTTCTCAAACACTCTCTCCCCCTCTTCATCCTCCTCATCCTCAAGCTCCTTCTCTCTCTTTCTAAGATTCTCCACCAACTCTTTCGCAATCCGCTGCCTCTTCTCTTCCGCCGTCTCCTCCGGTTCTAACTCCTCCTCCTCCTCCCCTGATTCTCCTCCACCATTAAGCATTCCTCCGTCCAACTCCTCCTCCTCGGATTCGATAACCTCATCTTCATTCTTCTTGCGTCTTTTGCTGTTGCTGAAAAAGGGATCTCTATTCATAGAGAATTTGCTGCTGCCCCTCTTGTTTTTTCCTGGGGGGCCTCCCATCTTCCTTGGATTCTTGTTTTTCATGGTTATTGCTGATATTAATTAATTTTCAGTGCAAAATAACAGAAACCCAGAAAATATTGATTTTTTTAGCAGAGAAAGAAAGAATGCACGTGGGCGGGCTGGCTGGCTGGGTGAAGAGAGGTTTGAAGGGAGAATGAGCTCTTAGTAGGGTTTAACGCTGGGGGTTTTCGGTGAGAGCTGAAGAAGAACAGCTAATTGGGTGCCGTCTGGACATAAAACGGACAATTATTGTTGGACCTTTTAATATGGTCTTGTCTGGTGAATCACTGGGCTTGGGCTGCAGAAGATATATCTACATGTATATAAAAGCTAAAGCTGTAGGCAAAAAAAATTTGGCGAGCATATTTTAGTTTTTTTACATGAAACATTAATTATTAAAGATTTGTATGAGGGTATAATTATCTCTCAGTGCATTAAAATAATCCAATTACTCTTTATATCATAAAGTTTACAGCTAGCTAAAAGTGCTATTTTGATCATTCTATTTTAAAATACAGTAAAATAACTTTAACTCTAAAATAAAAAAATTTAAGTCATAAAGAGATATTTTGTTCTTTTCATATAGATTTTTTTGTGAATTCAAAAATCAACCCTTTTTTCTTTTAAGTATACTAAATTATTATTTTATTATAAAAAGTTATTGACACTTACAATATACTTAATAATATGTGATAAACATTTGTGTATTTTAATTGGTGCATATGGTGCCTCTCATTAACTTAGATTGCTCTTTTTCCATGTCGATGGATGAGCTACCATATCCTTTTCTAGCAATGCAACGTATGATAATGAAAATAGGGTAATTTATTATTGATGAATCTTTTTAATTTTTTAGTATGCAATGTTCAACCCTATTAAGAGCTCGTTCTCTTTCTCCTTGAATTAGCTCTTCTTAATTATTCTAGTCAACAAAGTTCTTTTTCTAGTAGTGTAATGCATGTTGATAAATATTTTATTTATTAAAGATTAAATTTTATAATTTTTTTATGTATAATATTTTTAGTATGTATGATGACGCGAGTCATGCGTTTAAAAAATTAATAATGATTGATATTTTTTTTAGTTTATTTTCTTTTTCAATATTATCATTTGATTTTTTTTAAAAAAAATTGTCCATATAATTTTCTTAAATATCTTTTTCGGATCGTTAAGCATCCAACAAACTCAAGACAAAAATTATGGCTCCACAATTAAAATTCACAGTCAAAGTAGAGGCCGATCTTTTTGTAATTTTTGAGTGCCACTCGTTATTCTCATTTCCTGCAGCTCAAATCCAAAACCTTTCCACGGAGATGTTGGAACTCCTTTGAGAATCATTGAACTGAGGTGAGGAGATCATATGATATGTTTAAGTGATATCTTCTCACTGCATGCAATTTTCTCTATAATAGTATAATATTTATATATCTTGCTTTTTAGTGGAAGTCTGACCTACGATATTATATTGAAGTGCTCGAAACCCTTTTATCATAGTGTATACAAATGATATATTTTTTTTCAACAATTTATTCTAAAAGGAAAATATCTTATTTCCTAACACGAGGGAAAAGTTTTTATAGGTGAAACACAAATCAACAAAACTTGTTTTAAAATCCTTGATTTTTCATATAAAGAAATTGAATTTATTCACAGTACTGAAAGCATTCATCTCTGAATAAATAAATACGTGTAATAATTGCGAAAGGAATGAAGCTTAGATTCTGATATTATCGATATACTGTAATTGGATTTATTTCCAATTTTTTTTCTTTTAATTTTCTTTTAACTTATTGTGTTTTTCTTGAGTGTTATCTGAATAGCTATTTTATTAATAAATCAATCGATTACTATGAAAAAAAATCCCTGATTTTCTAGAATAGCAAGTTTTTGGCATTAAAGAATTCTTTCTATTGTTAAAAAAATATACTTCATTTTATAGTTTTATAGATCTAAAGCTTGAGGTCAAGATGATATTTGATAAATGGGCTTATCAAATATCAAATACATATATAATAAAGCATGACTTCCGTGAAAGAAAAACTTAGACATGAATTTGTTTTGTTGGTCCTAGAAAGTTTGATAGAACTTGATGCTTGCAGTAGTTAGCGAGTCAACAAGGATTTGATCACGTTACAGCTCTGAAGGATCTAGTTCAGGCTTGGCACCTCAGTTGTTATTATAGAAAACCCTAATCCGTATTATTTCTCACTAAAAAGATAAAAGAGTACTAATCCAAGCTGTAAATATATAGTTTCTGTGCTAACATTATTATATATCAGACCAAAAAGGGCACATTATCTAGGTAGATAGAGGTTTTCCTTGCGGATCTCTCTCTTCTTGCAAGGTCTCGGTGACACAACTAGGGTTTTAGCACTGTTTTTATTTGTTAGGGTTTAGGACTCCATTGTTTCCTCTGTAAATATAAGCGAAAGGATCCAAGTCATTGTTCTTAACAATCTTCCAACTCACCCCAAACAACTCGTAATCTATATATATAAAACATAGTAACATAAATGAAAATATGGTATTGTTGAACTATATATGTTTCTTTATCAATTTGACATTATTTTATAGTTTCAACACATGACTTATTAGAACTTTTGTGAAGCTTTAATTTCAAGTTCCAATAACTCTCATCAACCACTATGTCATCATCTGCTATCTTTCAATGAACCAACTCTTCCAACAAGAAGAGCGCCTTCTGTCATGTCTACAACTTGTATGACCTTCATAACTTGCATGGATAATTTTAGATTAAAAAAAGCTGTTTATCTCATACATAATCCAATGAAAAAAATGAGAAAATGATGGATCCTAGCTAAGTTATATGATACAAGTACTTGATATTTTAACTTAAAACCAGATTCGACTTGATTTTGAGAGAGATTAAAGGTAGAAGATCTATTCAATTATATATGTAGTCCAACAACAAATAACTCACTCAAAAAATCTAAAAGAAAATTTAAACAAAACTAAGTACCACAAGGAAATTAAAGAACAAGAACAGAAACCTATACATAAACTACCAAACATATCATACATATGGTAACAACATATCCGTATGACAACTCTATTTTCAAAAAATATTGACACAAATGTGAGGGGAAAAAAAAGAATTCTTGCCCCAAAATCTTTTGTTGCTTCCATGACCATTCATTGCATTTCTCTAGCAGTTTTCCCACTTGAAACACAACAATTTTAGGGCAACGAAAGCTGCTCTCATCAGCATCAGCAACACTATAGAAATGGTCCCATATGCCAAGCTTTAAAATTTCCATCTTAATGCACGTGCGAGGTTGCAATGGCCGCTTCTCATAGGGCTTGATACGAAGCGGTACATTATTGTTTGTTCTATCTTTGTGCCCTCTTCAATTAGAGATGTTACATGGCCAGAAGTGCCAGCAACCATATAGTACAAGATTACTGAAATGCCTAGCTAGTCATCACTTCCCCATTTCTCTATTTAATCATGGAGGATATACGCTGAGCTTGTCTAGGTATAGAATTACATGAATTGGATCAACCCCATTGAATTGCCTAGAGAATCTAAACTACTAGATTGATGAAAAAAAAGCATGCTAAGTTCCTCCTAAAGTAAAGTGATCACTTTATCTTTGAATTTAAAAAAGCCATTGTCTTTAAAAAGCGTTATTAAAAATTCTAATGGCTATCTTTTTTGGGTTTAATATAAAGAGGCTTGACACTGGATAATCGTTATCGAATCCTTGATATATGTGGCACGACTCCTCCTAGTAACTTGAAAAATCATTTAACTTAATACTTTTAGCTAATGGACAAAATAATGTAGTGTTCCGAACTTCACTGGACTCTTTGAGTAGAACCAAAGCTATCGGGAAATTTAATTTCACTTTAAGACTTTTTTTTTTTGGTTTTTTTATTTCTTCACATTAAATAAGTGAGATCTTATTTCACTCAAATTTTGGTTCTAAACATCTCTTTCTAAGAGTATTACATCCTAAATAAAGTATTAATGTATAATTGTGCATACCTTAATGTTTTTTTGTTTTTTCATAAAATATATCATGAATGAAAAAAATATATAAAAACATTTGTTTCGAAGAACATTTTATATATATATATATATATATATATATATATAGAGAGAGAGAGAGAGAGAGAGAGAGAGATTACATTTTGACAAGTAATAATTTAAAAAATATAATAATAATAAAATAATAATAACAATGTATTATAGTTAGCGATAAAGTAGTATAATTATAAAGTAGTTATGATTGTTAAGATGGAGGTGATGCAGTGATTGTTATAAAGATAATGATAATATTTATGGAGGAGTAATGGTGATTATAAAAATAATAATTGTAAAGTAGTGAAGGTGATGATAGCATCAATAACAATGTTTATGGAGGAGTAATGGTGATGATAAAAATAATAATTGTAAAGTAGTGAAGGTGATGATAGCATCAATAACATTAACAAAATAATAGTAGTTATGGAAAAGGAGGTATTGATAATGAAATTATAATAGTGATGATTAAAATAATTATATAATATTATGAATGAATTACTTTGTGTAAAATATTTTATAGAATTTCATGATTCAAAATATTTTTTTAATAAATAAATTAAGTTTAGATATTGACTGTAAAATATTTTATAGAATTTCATGATTCAAAATATTTTTTTAATAAATAAATTAAGTTTAGATATTGACTGTAAAATATTTTATAGAAAATAAACATAAAAAAATCAAAAATTATATTTTTTGTAAAATGTTTTATGTAAAATAAATGAACCCTTAACTATAAATTATTTGGCAAATTGTACTAATGTAATCTTGCTTTTCAGTTAATTAAACAATTCTTGTGTTTATATGTTAAATAACCAATTCAATATAAAAAATTAAATTATTAGATGAGATTCTAAGATATAATTTATATTATTTTTTAATATAGCATTTAAATTTAAAATTTACAAAAGTTTATATTACTTTGTGTTTAATTTTTATCAAATAAAATAAACATGGTAAAATTCAAACTCATAACTACTTAAAAATATTAAAATTATATCAAATAATCAATTCAACTTAAAAATCTAATACACACGAAAATCAAATAGCCAACATTGTGCTTCTTCCCAAAAGCTTTAAAATTATGATTTCAAGACCCAGCAAGAGGAATGTTCACTTTTCCCTCTCGTTTCCCCAAATGGGAAACTTATTTATCCTTCTGTAAGCAAGTCGCTGTCAAGCTAGCCCAGAATATGGAGTGGCATTGAATTTCATGACCCCTTTTTCTTTTTCTTTTTTCTTTCTCTTTTGTGTGATGCAGAAAGAATATAAATGGGTGTGAGATCTGATCAATCCTTCTCGTAACATGTTCTGCCTTAAATACCAACAGCTGATAAAGTAGAGAGAGTCACTAGCTACTTGCTATTCTGCACATAATATTGGACCATCTTCTAGGCTTACCCTTGTTCTTGCAATTAGCTGTACTCTTGTCTGAACTTGGCAATTAATTGGCTCATGGATCATCTTGTTAGATAACTAATTTATTATTACCACCACTAAAATAGTTTAAACTTAATATCTCTTGAACGAATTAAAACACTGATGCTAATTGTGAAGATGATTAGAATATGGATCTAATTAATTATAACTTGACTTTGGCTAGCTAGCTCAAGTTTCTTTGAAGATGACCTTGAATTAATAAAAACTTGTAGCTAACTATTTAAAATGAAGTGAATTTTTTATTTATTGTTAAAATAGCCATAAAGTTATATCATAACATATAATATGAAAAGCTTTTCTCAAAAATATAAAAACAATATTTTACTTCGCATGCAAGTACTCTTTCGTAATTACTGCCAGCAGCTGAGAGCAGCAGAACAGATTCATCAGTCACTCATTTCAGTGTGTTCGCAAGGAAGTATACGCAGACTATGCAAATCATTAGAAGCATGCTACCTTCAAACCCAAGCCACAAACACACATAACTGTACAGTTAGTCTTTGTACTATTTAAAACTGTAATAATTCTGGAGGCTCTTTTGTTACAGTATCGTGAGTTCTTGGGAGAAGACGCAAGGAAACCCTAGAATGATTGCTTTATGTGCATGCGCAAGTTTACACAGCATTTATAAACCTTTTTTTTTTTATGAAACGACATTTATATATAAACTATAAGAGAGAAATAAAAGTATTACCTTAGAAAATGTTTAGCTTATCCTTTTATGTATGCTTTTGTGTATTCTATATTTGGGATATGGATCTGAAGATTTTTTGTTTTTTAATCTTCACTAATTATACATATTTTATATGTTTTTCACTTGTCCTAATAGTTTTTTACTTGTCCTAATTCATTAATTATCAAGAAGTACATGATAAAACTTATAATTTATTTCTATAAAATTATTTTCTTCAATATTGATTAAATAATATGATAAAAATTCAAACTTATTAAAAGATTGCAAAAAAAGAGAGTCATGTATTAATTCTGGAAAAAATCAAATAAAAAAATAATATTTTATTTTACTCTTACTGGTATGTAAATTAAGTCAATTATTATATATCTTTTTTTTTTCCCCCGATCTTCTCCTTTGATGATGTATGCCTCGAGAACTAGAAGCATAGGAAATGATGAAAAGAGAATTCTGAAAAACATTCAAGGGCTTTCAAGCCAAGTTATTTTGGCAGCTAGCTCGCCAGAAACTTCTAGTAATTTACAGTGTAATTTAGGGCTGAGATGCAAATCAAAGAAGAGGATGAGAAAGAATATGAAAATATAGTTGAAATACATAAAAGTATTGAGCTTAGAAGCTTATCATGGTAACTTGTTCAATCCAAACGAAGCTGATAATGAGTTCAGCCCTAAATTACACTCACACCTTCTCTACGAAGAACACACACACAAAATCAATTTCTTCAGCACTCTTTCAAATATTATGTAAGACAATTAATGCATGCGCTCCTTGTTATTCTACCTGATTTTGGTTCCTTGTTTTTACATATATAATAAGAACACTCCTAAATTGTGAGAACTAATTGAAGATCATGGAATACATTTAATTAACTTATCATCATCAACTAATCAAGGACTGATTAATGAACTCGCACAAGAAACCATCTTAAATGAGTGTTTAATTATAAAGGATGAAACTAATGTGAAGATCATGAGGAAACTTTTCAAAAAAGCAGCCAGGCTTCATTCCTACATTGACTGAAACAAAAGAGAAGATGTCATCTCCAAAATAAGCCTTTAAGAAGCAGCCTAAGATTTCAGTGCTTGTGTGTTGGCTGGCACGACAAATTTTAAAGTAAGATTTCAAGACTTTAGTTGGAATTTAATGTAGCAAGCTGGGCTTCTAGCTTTCATTAGGTGCAATTCTTGGTTCTAAGAGAGAAAATCTTAAACCTTGATCATTCTTCCAAGTCCAGCCAAAACCTCCCCCCTCAAATCTCTCTCTCTCTCTCTCTAGCTCCCCACCCCCACAAAGCTAGAGAGGATCATCACTTGCGTACTAAAGCCTTCACTTTGTCTATTTTATGGAGAGGATAACTAGCTATGATTGTCATCATTTACACAAGTCAGCAATCATTTCAAGAGGCTATTAGGTAGCATTGCCCATGTCTTTTGTTGACAAAACTCTTCAAGTCACACCCTTCCATCATGAATATCAATCAAACTGAATTCACAAACCTCACTTGGAATCTTCATGTGTCCATGGAAGACCAATTTCTTCATCATGACCGGCTTCCTTTTGTCTCAATTTTCCCTAGCTACCCTCTCCAACTACAACAAACACCAATCCCAGCTCCAAACCAAGTATCACTCCCAACTTTTCTTAGTCATGGCCAAATAGGAAACAGCACAGATGAAGCGGATCAGGATGAGCCAGAAGAAGAACTAGGAGCAATGAAAGAAATGATGTATAGAATTGCGGCGATGCAGCCTGTGGACATAGATCCGGCCACGATTCACAAACCTAAAAGGAAAAACGTTAGGATTAGCGATGACCCTCAGAGCGTGGCAGCACGTCTCAGACGAGAAAGGATAAGTGAAAAGATCAGAATTCTTCAACGGCTTGTTCCCGGGGGAAGAAAAATGGACACTGCTTCAATGCTAGATGAAGCTATCCGTTACGTCAAGTTCTTGAAACGGCAAATCCGCTCACTCCAACCTAATCATCAGCACCAACCATGCAACACTAATGGAGATTGGCAAGTTCCATACAACGACAAACCTCTCAATTCCACCACCACCACCTCATCCTTCCTCGAACCTCGAGCTGCACGCCATGGATACATTCTCGGTGATACTGGGGACAATCCCTTGTGCTTTAATCACGAGGTAATAAGTGATCAGGGCTAAAGTGAGAAGTGATTAGCGTGTTAATCAGTCGTGATTATTAATGAACTAGTAGTAATTAATGTGTGTGTATGCATAAGCTAGGTACCATGTGAAGGAAAAAGTTGTTAGGATATGGTTGACTAAAGGGTATATATGGTCTGTGGAATAATCATAACGGTTAGCTTGAGATGCGTAGCGCCATATATCCATCTATAATATACAATAAAGCTTTTGGAGTTTGTAGGGCTCGCCGGAAAGTTTGTTTGGCCGACGCCCTTCCTAGACTAAACAGTGACATATGTATGTACGTCTTTTGAATACTATTCTCTCTATCGGTCTGTGTGCACAAGAATGAACATGCACGTGGGGTGGTCACATAATCATACATGTTCATACTCATCTGACAATTTTATGGGTGCAAATGAAGGTATGTGGGCATATTATTTGTGTATTTTTATATTTTGGGATATGTTTACACATATATGAACACATTATTTGATCGATATACTAATTGAGTTTTCCCCGGCTCCTTCACTCGCATCTTTTTTTTTTTCTTCTAAAATTATATCTTTCAATTAAGTTCTTCAATGGCCTCATTAGATGATATTAATAAGAAGTTTGAGATTGTGATAAAAAGTCCAAACTAAAAGATAGAGAATTGAAACATAAAACACAAAAAAATTACATGGCTAATCACAAATTTATGACAATTTTAATTTTGATCTAAAATTTAAATTTTATTTGTTTTCGATCCCTAAATTTAAGAGATGAGAGAAAATCATAAAAAAATAGTGAGAGAAAGATAAAGTTATCGATTGGCTTTTATAATTTCAGCAATCATAAAAATCAAATTTGATGTCAAATAGTTTTATTATTCAACGAGAGTTGGATAATGATAGTTTTTAGCCTTCATATTGCTTGAAAAAAACAAATAGGGGTCATTTAAATTTTTTAGATTTGGTTGATTTTTAATTTTCTAAGTTATTTTGAAGTTGGTAGGTGGTTTATGAAGATTTATATGGTATTTTTGAGGTTTATCAAGTAAAACTAACATCAAAATTGGATTTTTTAAGGTCTAAAAGTTCAGGCTTTTATTTTTTAATTATTAGCGGTGATCTAAAAATGCTACAATAAGCAACAAGTTGCTTGTCATTATAGGCAAATTGTCGTCTATTTAAAAATAAAACAGATGATACATCATTAGCTTTTGTATTTTTTTTAAAAATAAATTGAATTAAATTTTATTTTTTTAAATAGTGATCAATCCTTTTATATTCTTTTAGTTGCAATATAATTCAAAGAGATTAGTTTTATTTCTCATGAATTCTTGAACTCTTATATTTTATATGAATTGGTTGCATTTGAATGAAGTTTTTATAAAAATAGAAATGATAATATGGATGCATGGAAACATTTAAAATAAAAGTGTTAGTGAAAAATATTTGTATATGTATATGCATTGTTGTTATCTATTTTTGAGCCCCTATATAAACAAAGAATAAAAAATAGAAGAAAATAAAAAAAAATCAATAAAAAAATACTAGAACGTATAGAAAATTGTCAAAAATTGATTGAGGAAAATCAAAATATATAAAATTAAAAAAAAATTAGAGTGTGTTTTAAACCAATGAAGACACAAAAAAAAATCAAAATTAGATATTAAAAATTTTACAGAATTTATTTTTTATTCTCTCAAAATGAAAACCCAGTCTCCGATATAAAAACAGTGGATCAATCCGCAAAAGCTCCCATTTAGTTATTGTCTGCTAATTTTCTGTAGCAGTTAGAGGCAGGGAACTTAAATCAGCATTCTTAGTTGATTGTCTTGCCTTGTTGCAGATCCAAAAAATGTAATTTTACTCCTTGTCAGGAGGTGATCTAACCCCTACCTCAGGCCTACAAACAGCTGTTGTGTGAATTCTGAAGCCAGAAGATTCACGCTAAATATTTGATGTGAGCTTTCTCTCCATCAATACTAGTTATCATGTTGCAATAAAGAGTTTCCACCTGGTGTTTTGACGAAAGAGTATATTACACAGAAAATACCGCATGAAGAGCCCAATTTCTCCATTCTTTTTCCACATTTTTGCTGTTTAGAAGGGGCTGAAATTTGGTCTCCAACGTACAGCGATTTTATCCACTTTGTAGTAAAAATCTTGGTCATGATATTGTTTACTTGAACAAAAGGGGAAAAAAAATGAAGGGATGAATAGAGAATTTTGATCCCATCATGTTTGCGAGGATTTTGCTTCCTTCTAATGGTTGTTGTTCATGACAATTCATACAAAGATGATTTCCCTCACAAGGTAAATGAATTTATTTTTACAGTGGAAATCTTCAGGGAGTTGGGCTGAGAAAGAGCAAGGTATATATCCTAAATTCCTAATTAATCAATGCAGAGGCATGTATGTATGCTCAAGGCACATTCTATGTTTCAGAATAATAACTTCTGCTCATTCTTTACGGGCAGCCCTAGATGATGACAGGATCATGGCCTCCGAGGAGATCAACTACCATGACAATCACTACCAAACATTACAATTGCTGTTCCCATTGTCTGGGAACAGCTCCAAATTAGGAAAACAGCAGTATAGTGTTTAATGTAACGTATTGCTTTTGTTTTAGTTCATGCTCGCGACTTGCGGGAGATAAAGAAAGTTGATGGGATTGTTCTTCATGGTTTGATATAACATCCCGTTCCGGTCAGAAGATGATCATACCTATGCAGCAAACCAATTTGTATGCAAATATCATATTGAAATTGCAATTTAACACGATGAATTTGATTTTGATATTATGGCATATGCCTGTTCTGAATTAAAAAACAAAAGGTGAGGGTGTTTGGTTATTTTTTATAAAAGATAAACAAAAGTTGATTGAAATTATTATTTTTTAAGTGCATTCTAAAGATTATAAAGTAATGAAGAGTGAAGAAGCCATGGTATAGAAAAATGAAAGGAAGAAAAAGTTTTCAAATTCTTGGCAAAATCAACATAAATTTTTAAAAGATGAAACTTTCCACAAAAAACAAAAAAAAAAAATCATCTAATACTTGATTTAAACATTCACTAAATATTAATACTTGATTTTGATTGAAAAAAAAAACAGAAAAAATGCACCCTGCCAATTTTTGTAAAAACAATTAATTTAGAACATGAACGGGTTAAATTTTCTCTGCTTTTCACGTAAATTTTCTGAAAAAAAAAAACTGCTAAAGAATGAAGCCAGGCAGGTTAGGTGATTGATAAAATGATCCTCTTGACTATGGAAGATGGTGTCATTATCGGAGCCTATGAACAATTCATACCAATCAACATCCTTGTCCTGAGAATTGAGATGTAGAAAGGAAACCTCTCTAATAAACAGAGAAAAAAAAACACAAGAAGTGTTTTTTAGTGCAATCAAAGACAAGTCTTGAAAAAAACTTTGCATGAGAGTCAAGTTACTCGAAACTTAGAAGCATGCATAACACTAAACAATTCAAAACCCTGCTCAAGAGTCAGCAGTACAAATAGGTATCGAGAACAGGCCATGTTCTTCACATCTCAACAGCAGCATAACACAATCTATCCAACTTCCAAAGCTTTCCCAGATTGAAATGGCCCCCCCTAATAACTATGACCCCAACTTCCCGTATTTTCCTCTACCACCACCACATAATAATCCTCCATCCCCTCCAAAAGTTGCGCCACCTCACAGTTCTCCATCCCCTCCAAATGTGTCGCCGCCCCATAATTTTCCTCCACCACACATTGCTCCCCCCTCTCCAAAAGTTCCTCCTCCACCACATCATCCGATTACACCACCACCTACTCATCCATTTCATCCACCACCACCCCGTCACATTCCTCCACCCCCTCATGTTATTCCACCACCACCCCATCACATTCCTCCACCCCCTCATGTTATTCCACCTCCACCACCAACACCAGGACATCATTCGACTGTTATAATTGTTGTCTTTGTCTCACTTGGTGGTCTATTCTTTCTTGCATTCCTCTCAGTGGCTCTCTGCTGCTTCATTAAGAAGAAAAGGAAGAAAACAGTTCAGAAAACTGAGATCTTAGAGTTCGATGAACACACTAAAGTCCAGGAAACCATTGTTCCAGGTCCTCATGGTGAGAAAATCACAGTACTAAACATTGAAGAGGATATGCATCTTGTAGAGGAAATTAAGAAAAACGAACAGCTAACTGAAGGTTCGCGCATCAAGTCGGCTCACGATCATCCCCTGGATTCTGACATAGCAACACCCTCTTCTCAGTATAATCAGCACCATCTCGAGCACAAGGTCTGATTGAAACACAAACAAATGAAATAAGTGGCAATATAATCGCACACTCCTCGTCAACAATAATATTCTACAGTCCTGCTGGGATTATACAAGAAAAATTTCTTAATTATTTTCCAAAGTTGTCGATATGTTTTCTTTGAATAAAAACTTAAATTGTTGAATAGTATTGTCATGTCCATGCATATTAGGAATTAGAAATCCAAACTACACGAAAGAAATTAAAATAAGAGTATATAGCACTATTTTATCACAAGAGAAGAAATAAAATCTCCAAAAAATAGACATTAACATAAATACTGCAGGCTCCTGTGGTAGTTGTGCTCATCAATCCACCCCAATTAAAATCCTGATTTCAGTGGGTAGACATGCAACATCAAATTAACACAAAACAACCATGCACTTTGAGGCTTACATCATATATACTGTACTCATAGCGAGCATTTAATAACAGCTACGGAAAAATGTGTCCTCTCTTATGAGAAACAATTTTGCAAGTTTGTTTTTAGCTTCAAGAACATATTATATTTGACAGATTTTTAAACAAGTGGGATCCATGACAGTGACTGCAGAAGATACCAGGCTCATAATGAGCATTATCATTTGACTCAAGCCCACTTCTGTAGCCTATCAGCGTAATATGCAGGTAGATATGCCAAATTGGGACACTCTGATAAATATTATCATAATTGTTTTCAGCCATTCTAACCATGGGGATCAGTATCAAAGCAGGGATAGTACCAGAATATTTTCTTAAGCTGACTCTTACAATAATATAGATATAGACAGGTTAAAAATTCTACCCCAAAAGTCTTATATCCTGTATCAGCAAATATATCTGCATCATGCTTTCAAGAGATTCAATCTCACCTAGATAATAATGGGAGGAAATATAAAGCACAACAAAGTTGGCAAAACATTGTAAAACTCATATGTTCCAGTTGGTTTATTGTGCATCATAATATATCAATGCATCATGCTGTCAAGAGATTCAGTGTCGTCTGAATACTGGGAAAAAATCCCTTCACATAATAATAGTAATAGTGAATTAAGTAACTTATTTTGTACTTTTATCAACCAGTAATTTATTTAAAATCGTTTCTTTTCTTTGGTTTATCAAAGGAAAATAATTTTTGTTTCATGTTATAATAAGCTTAGTTCCACATTTTAATATTCATCCTAATTCTTTGTATAAATGTTTATTTAGTTGATTTGTTTACACGGAATCAAGGCCTCTTAGAACTCTGAGTCTCCATTAGCTGGCACTAGACATGGGCCCGTGCTACTCGACGGGGTTGAATTTATTTTTTTTTCATAAAAAAGAGCTTCAGGTGTCTTAATAGTATTTTAAAGATAGGAAGAAAATTCACAATTGAGGTTAAAATCAATCAAAAAGTGAAGATGAAATTAAAAAAAATTGATAAATAACAAATTAGAATTGAATGATAAAATTAAAAATAAATAAAAATTTTACAAAATTAAGGATAAAGAAAAAAAATTAGAAATAAAAAGAATAAGGACTAAATTGTTAAAAAAAAACATATTATAAATTTGTATTGAATGGTGAAATTAAACAAATAAAAATTGTACAAAAAGGTTAAAAAAATAGAAACCAAAAGAATAAGAACCAAATTGAAAATATAATATATAACAAATTGAGATTGAAAAATAAAATTGAAAACAAATAAAATTTTTACAAAAGAGTCAACAAAAAAAATAAAAAATAAAAAAATAAATATTAAAAATAAAATATCAATAATTAAGAGGACAACTTTAAAAACTTGAATAGCCAGCATAATTTTTAAAGGGAGTAGAGTGAGAAAGAGAGATAAGTATCGTCAGTGCCAAATTGTTCTACCTCCGCTACTACATGCCACCCCAATAAAAATAGAACATCATGAAGATTACAATGACAAAAAGAAAAAGAGCTTTTAATTATTGAGAGGAATCACACGCATCGCTAGAAGAGTATAAGTATTTTCCACACGTTAATAATTTTTTTATTAAAATATTTTTTTATATTCAATAAAGTATCAAATTGACCTTAATCAATTGTATAATAACAAAAAAAAAATATAATAAAAAGATAAAAAAAGTCACTGGACACGAATTTTCAAAATTTTGACTTTAATGGTAATAAGTCATTTTATTGTTAAAAAAAATAAAATGACTAAAAATTTTTTTAATTTAATTTTAAAAATTTTAATTTTAAGAGTAAATAGGTAATTCAACTATGTTTTAAAAAAGTAAAAGGACAATTTAACTCCAATCAATCAAATAATAACTAATAAACATTGTAAAAAAACCAAAACACTCTCAATATCAATGCTATTGATGTTATATTGATGTTATTTAGAATAGTAAAATAATAATTACAGCAATGAATAGTAAATATATATTTATGTAAACATTAAATTTATCATCCATTTTATTTTTTATTTTGGTTACATTGGAGTTTATTCTCCTTCACTATTTTGGTATCTAATAAAAGAAAACATGGTCAAGAAATAAATTTGTTTTTTTTTTTATGATCATGAATATGCCAATTAATTATCGAGTAGTGCTATAAAATCAAACAAAACTACCTCCCTGTTACAACAAAACAAGGGAACAAAATTACCTCCCTGTTAAATCAAAACAAGGGGACAAAATCCTGGTCCAAGATTTATACCTTAATCAAAGCCAAGTTAAGACTTTGATATTTTATTGACGGAATCTCTTGAACCTGAGTCCAACAGCTCGACTGCTCCTATCCCAGAAAATCACTATTTCATCTCCTGGATTGAGCTAGGAATCACATCCATAAAGCCCAGTACATGAGTGTCTTTAATCGGTCCATTCTTCACATATGCCTCCTGATCACTCTTGAAACCTTTTTTTCCATATGTATTGCCCCAGATGACTTGGTTAGCCATTTCCAGTGTCCATTATCTAAAAACATGCTAAATAATGTTCTCATGTGATATTAAAAAAATCTCATTGCTGGCGATACACTTTCTGATCTTCCATGGATTCTTGGGGTTCATGATTGGTGACATGATGTGGCTGCTGCTTCCTCTCCAGCCTTGGTAGGTCGAAAGTTGTAATAAAAGGAATTTTTTTCATGGTGGCTAAAAGAAAAGAGAAGATTAGAAAGGAGAATCAGAGCGGGAAGATGGGGAAGTCTGCATCTCTTTATAATGTAAGATAAACCCTATTTTAATAGTGTATGGAGCAGTTTCCTTTCTTGAATGATCAAACCCGTTCAACGCTGCCTAAAACACTACAGAGGCGTATACCTGTGATCAGTGAGAACTTCTTGGATTTCCTGTTCTTCTCAAAGAGGGATGGGTGTTAAGTTTTTGTTTCTAAAATAGAAACCAAGTACTCCTAGAAAAGCCTAACATCAGTTTTTCATAAATCTGTTGTGTTGTGTCCCTTCAAAACTTTTGACAAAACACCAATAAAAAAATGGGGGGGGGAGGCCATTTTGCACCGCAACAATTTGCATCATACATCCGCATTTGGGAAAACGAGATAGAGGAGAGACATCCTATACAATAGTTTTTTGACTACCAAAAGTTTTTTAGGTTACTGTGGATCAATTGCCATGGGAGTGATTCGCCTCTTGGCTGGCTTATTTGAGATGGGAGTACTTATGGAGACTGGTGATGGCTGCTTTCCTTCATTCTTTGCTGCTACTGTTTTTCCACTGTCTTCTGCTATACAACCATTATTTGTCGTTGTTTCAATTATCATGCACTCTGGTTCCTGCGTATCGGGGCTCTTGTTCTGATGGACTGCATCTTTCCTCTCGTCTATGTAAGATTGAAACATAACACATAAGAAAGGGGCCAAACTGTGGAGTAAATTGATGGACTAGCAAAAGCAATAAAAGAGAAACAACAGCAAACCTGCCGAGGAGATGGGCGAACCCAGTTCATTAGTTTCAAATTCTACTAAAGTACAGTATCCATCTCGGGAAGACAAAGCTAAATACTGAGCATTAGATGACCTATTAGCAACAAACATAGTTAGTAATTTGCGATATTAACATCAACCCACATGAATCATCCAAAAGAATTGTAGATGGTGCAGCAGGAGCATAAAGCACAAAAGCGAAAGGCTGTTTAGAAGTAAAGATGAAAAATGAAACTCTCATCTTGCAAGTCTGACCCAGTCTTAAACAGAAGAAAATATGCATCAAATCATACAGAAACGGTCCACTCTAATTTTATCAAAATTTAATTGATGTGTACTATGATTTGTTTTTGCAAGGCATGCTCTTTAGAGTTCAAACCATATTTAAATTTACCATGCAATGTCAGTTATGGCTGCATAATGAAGACCGGCCAAGATTGCTATGGGAGGAACACTCTCTGTGTCATAGATATATAATGAATTTAAAGTTGCCACAGCAAAAATCAGGCGATATGGAAGTTTGAAGAGCCCAGCTGCACAAGTCAATAAAGATACCCAGCTTAATAATAACCTTTTGCTGAGCTACAACACGTTTAATAAAAATCATCAAGACTTGACTAATACCTGAGGCTAATCCCCTAAGGTTAAAAGCCACTGGACAAAAACGAACTGCCACAACAGGCTTGCTAGCACCAGGGAGCATTACTGCAGGTCTGCATATCAGAAAATATACACAAATTAGGAAAGAAATAAAAAGAACAGAAGACAAAGAATAAGTCTTCTTAAAACTTAGGTAGACATCATTAACAAGAAATGATATATTGAAGCATGTCTTGCCTTGAAAGATCCATTCTGGAAAATGCATAAGCAGTATTTACTGTTTCCGATGCAGCTGACATTTTGTAAGAACCTGCAATGCAAAGGGTGCTTTGTCAACAGATATTAATCAAGCAACAGCAGCATTCTGTTAAATGCAATTAAGACCGGCATTAGTTCATGAGATGAGTAAAGACAATACAAGCTTTTGTGCATGTGCGTTTACAAATAAGATTAAAGAAACATACAGGCTTTTAACTCAAATGGACTTATGTTTAGGTCCATACCTGCTGGCACAAGTAAAAAGGATCCATCAGGTGACCAGGCTAGTCTTCTGAAGAAAGATGGTAACGTCTCATCGTGAAAAAGATGTGTTTTTGTAGACTGCACCCCCAGAAAATGTATAAGGCTTGCAACATGTTGAAGCACAAATAATCAACAACACAATCACTCTATTGTCTGAACTTAGAATCATTTACCATCTGCTGTTCTGCCTTTGTAATGACATGCTGAGAAACATAGTTCATCTTCTCAGCACCTTTTGTCTTTGTCTGAGGCTTATTCACATAAATTCTGCAAGTTCTATCTGAACTAAGAGAAGCAATGTACTTGGCCAATGGATCCCAAGCTACACCTTGAACATAATGGAAATGACCATCCAATAGCTGATGTACAGAACCTAAAACCAAGACAAGGGCAATCAGAAAATCAACAACCAAGGCACTTTAACTGTTATGCACTTTGGTTTTGTGTGGTCCTTCTTGCCTTTGTTAACATCCCATATGATGCAAGAATTGTCAACTGATCCAGAGATCAGATATGCAGAGTCTGCAGACCACTCCAAGTCCAGAACATCTTTACGGTGAAATCTGTATGAAAAATGAAAATCACTAATGAGCAAAGAAGTGAGTGAATATCTAACCAAGATCCTATACAATTTCAAATGGGCATTTTCGCAGGTGAGAAGAATAAAAAACTTCGTACAAATGAAATGACATCAACCAAAGCCAAAAGATCAAACCAGTATCACTATTTCCTTCTACAGTTTTTAACTCCATGACATTAATATTATTACATTTTCCTGTTTTCATTACATTTCTCTCTGAATTCAATCAATCAGCAATGCAAGATTAATTTGGATGAAATGACTATGCCGGGCTTAACTTGAGCCTCATATCCACATTTAAAACAAACAGACCACATCCAGTAAATCACGGCTATGCTACACATGGAAGTTTAAGATCATATATGACGAAATCACTTACAACAGGTTCTTGAGGACTTTCCATGTTTGACCAGTTTCTGTGGAATGTAACTTCCATATAATCAGCTCTCCCCCTGCTCGCATAAAATTGAATTTAAGACTACATTGCTGAATCACCTAATAAATGACCAGTCAAATTTCATCATGAAAGAAAAATAGTCTCTGTAACTTAAAATCATACCATCAGCACCTGAGGCAAGCAATTCTCCTGCAAAACTTAAACAAATTAAATTTCTATTTAAGAAACTCCATCAATAGCAACAACGAAGTAGATAATTTGCAATAATTAATTGCTAAACATAAAATAAAAAATCTGAAAAGCAGCATCACAATCAATAAGTTCTTACCAGATGGAGAGAAACGGAGCACGTTGACAGCTGAACCATGATAGGAAAGGCTATTACGATAAGTTGCCGTCGCGATTTTCTTCTGTGCTTGGCCTGAATTTATCACCCAAATCTGCCAAAAAAAAAATATATATATATATATACAAATTCTTTGAAAATAAAATACCAAACACTGAAATGCTGGAAATGGGTCTTTGATTTTTTTAAGAAAGATCCGAACAAGCCTTAACTTTTAGTTCCGCTAACAGCAGAAATATAAACTTCATTGACTGATTAAACAGGAATGGAAGGCAGAAAATTAAAGTTAAATCTCAAGAATGGTGGGAAATAGTGTACCTTGATATCGTAATCGGCGCCGCCGGTGGCTAGGAGACCGGAGATTGGGTGGAAGTCTAGGGTGAGGACTGGTTTGGTGTCGTGCCAATTAATTTGCACTGTTCCTCCCTTCATTTCTTGTGGGTTTTCTTGTTTGTTTCTAGGGAAAGTGAGGGAAAATTTTTTAGGGTTTATATTTTTGGGTGAAGAAATGGATAGAGAAAAGGGATTTTTTAGCGGGATCTCAGTTTTGAAGTGGCGGGAAATGGGTGGGTCTTTTTTTTGGGACCATGGTACATTGTGGTTTTGCCACGCGGCCACAAGGTTCTTTGTTGAGAAATTTTACGGTGGCGAAAGACTAATTAGTGGTGTTTAGTTATTTTTTATAATTCATTTTAAAAAAACAAAAAAAAATCTAATAGAAAAGAAAAGGTAAAATACATGATCTATCAAAAATAAAAATAAAATATATCTTTATTTAAGATTCTTTTTCTCTATTTATTTTTTTTAAAAGTAAATTCTAATAAATAATTAATAGAATACCATTAATTATCTTAAGCGTTATAGAATTTTATATTATTTATCATTACATGTTAATTTTTTCAAATAATTATGGTTAATTAAATATTATGTAGAACTTCATTATAATTTTTAATTATAGTTATGAGAGCTTGTATAAAAATAATTTGTTTTTGAAACTCAAGTTATAAGTTAGTAATTAACTCAAATGTACTTAAATTTTAATTATTTTTCTAAATTCTTGAAATTATGTTATATTGATATAAAAAATAATATTTTTCATTAATTCACTCTAACAAGATACTAAGTTAACGGATCATTGGATTAACCAAAGGTTAGGGGTATAAAACACAAAAACTATACATATGATTTTGCACCAACTATATATGAAAAAAAAAATTATTAATGATATGAATTTGTCCATGCGTGTATTGTTACTGCTATTTTATGATCATTTTTGTCGCATAGAAGACCATATCACATGTATAGACAAGTATTTGAGAAACACAAGTTATGAGACCTCTACTCTATTTGGGATTAGATATTTTTATTTTTTATATAAAAAATTATATTTATATATATATAAAAAAAAAATTTCAATGTATTTTTGTATTTTAAAAAATCTAAATTCAAATAAAAAAATTATGTATGAGAGAATTGTGTGTGCGAATAAATAAAAATTCATTAATAATATCTAAAAATAAAATTTAAAAAATCGAGGGACTAATATAGATTAAGATATTTAATCTTGAAATATAGAACATTAATCGAGTTGTGTTTACTAAATTTATTTATTAAAATATTTTTTTATTTAAATAAACAATAATAAAAATAGATACACAAATTGAATTGATTGAATAAAATAAAAGGAGAAAAAAATCATGCAAAGTTGCACAAATTAAAAATATAATCTGAAAATAATTTTTTTATTTTCAAAAATAAAATTCATTCATACAAAAGATAGAAAAAATTATAGATGAATCATAAAAACTCTTCAAATTTAAATTTATAACTAAAAAAAATAATTATAATTTAAAAGAGGTTTTCCAAGCATAATAAGAGAGAGAATGCGTATTAATTTAAATATAAATTAAAAAAATTTAGAGAAAAAATATAAAAAATAATCATTAATTTTTAAAAAAAATAGAAGAAAAAAGAAGAAGAATTAATTTTAAAAAAAAATTAAAAGAAAAAAAAAACAAAGGCTAGACTTTGCCTATTTAAGGCCCATCCATGGGCTTGCCTTGGCAAGAACTTGCAATTAGACCTTTGATTTTTTTTATTTGCAAGTCATCCATTCTAAAGTTTTTTGAAAAAATACAACAGTCAAAATATTATCTGATTTGTTCAAATTCTAATAATTGTGGTAGTTGAAAAATCAAAGTTTAAGTTTTTTATTTAAATAACCATTTTCAATCTTATTTTTAGCTAAAAAATATAGTGAGGAAATACTACGAAAAGAAGAAGAAACATGAAAATTGTTGACCTCGTTAGAGAGAGTTGAAACTAAAAGGGAAAATAAGAAAAAAATTAAAGTCACTATCTAGTGATTAAAAAAACTATAAATCTTAAAATAGATTGTTATCCTACTAGACAAAGGTCATAACAATATTAATGTTAATTTCTAAAATAAAATATTTCATCAATTTAAAAAAGTTGACATTAATCCTTAAATAGAAGATTTCATCAATTTTAAAAAGTGCTAATATTGATACTTAAAATATGAGATTTTATCTTTTATAAAATATTGATGTCAGTCTCTAAAATAAAAAATTTCATCAATTTTATAAAATATTGTTGTTAATCCCTAAAAAGGAGATTTCATCTTTAATATAATATTGACATCAATCCCTGAAATAGAAAATTTCATTAATTTTTAAAAAAAATTGGTAATCCCTAAAAAAAAGATTTCATCAATGAAAGAAAAATTTTGACTTTAAGGATATTTCATGAACTTATAAAAAATCTTGATGTTAATCTCTTAAAAATAGATTTCTTTGGTTTAAGATTTTAAAACGAGCATTTGACTTATATAGATGATGAATATTAGGTTTTGACCCCATTCTTTTGAATATATCTTAAATAGATCATAATAGCACCACCCATACTCATTTGGCATATGTGAGGTCATGTTGGTCTTGTCTGGGTTAACTCACGACAAGGGATAATACATTGCAGTGCACGAAAAAAAACCAAAACTATAAAGACAATTTAAAATATATGGTATTTTATTTTATTTTTAAAATTATATGTTTTCACTTTAAGAATGATTCCACCGATAAAATAACACTTTACCATACGATGAAAAAAAGAATTAATAGGGTATTGTTGAGCACTCTTTAACTCACCATTTCATTTTCTTTAGTTTAGTTATGAAAAAAAAAATTATAAGCTATAAAGATATCATTTTGGCCATATCAAAACAACATCAAATTTCTCCCCCAGTATAACCATTATCATGCATTTTATTTTTTTCCCTACTTTAGACTAGACTTTCTTCCTCTCACATGTCCCATACATGACAACAAACACATCCTTCTCTTCACTTGAACATGTACTTCATCCTTGACCAATAGCTCACTAAAGATGTGAAAAATACTTGGATGGAAACTAGGATTTTTTTAGGAGGGACTTTTTTGGTTTCAAATACTCTTTGCTTATATATACATATACATATATATACATACATACATACATACATATATATATATATATATATATTTGTGTGTGTGATTTTGATTAGAAAACATATACAAGAAAGAAAAAACTAGAATTTCTATTTTTAGAGTTACTTATGATCTAGACTTGGTATGTTTCTTTCGTAAAAATTAAGGTTTAGAAATAATCCTTGTCTCTTTTAGATAATGGTGCATGGAAGAAGTTTTTAAGTTTATTAAGACTTAGTCATGCTTGAATACAAATTTTGTACATTTTCTTGATCTCAAACAAGAAAGGTTATAAACTAGATATATATTTTTGCTTGCTTGGATGATGTTTGGATTAAGAAAAAATTGAATATTCTTTATTTAAGGGCTTAGTTGGTTTTCACTTAGAGTTTCAAAAGACTTTAGCTTGGCCATAGTTTCATGTTTAATTTTCATAGGTTTTATGAAAATTGAATTTGTCTCCATCTAGAGACTAAAAAGAAATTTCATCAAAGTCCAAAATCATTGAAATCTCTTGTTTTAAGGGATTAATGTTATTTTTCTCTGAAAATCTCTATTTTGATAAAATCTCCTATTTTAGGGACTAACATCAAGAATTCTATTAAAATTCTAAAATTGATAAAAACTTTTATTTTTATGAATTAACATCAAAATCTTTAATTAACACTTTAAAATTTTGAAGATTTTCTATTATAAGGACTAAAATCACCATTTTTAAATTTCTTTATCAAATCTCTTATTTTTAGGATTAACATAAATTTTTTTGACAAGTTGTCAACATCCTTTTTTTTTAGGATTAACATAATTTTTTTTGACAAGTTGTCAACATCCTTTTTATTTAAAAAATAAATATCATATAATATATAGGCCTATAACAAGGTTTGTAAAATCAATAACGTGCATATAATAATTTAAGAAAAACACATAGCAAAGATAACATTTTATTTGAAATGATGTGGTAAGAATATGTCTATCTTTTCTTAGACATAACTAACTAAGCACCTGAATATCTAAAACTAATGTCTCTTTTTAAATTCTAGTTTTCTTTAATTATAAGGTGATGACTATTGTTTTTATTTTTTTCCTTTTATTTTTTGGAGAGTCTTGCATTCATCATTGTGACAAGAGTAAGGGTAGTCAAATTGTTGAAAATTTGACATCACTATCACTAATTTCTTATACGAGGAGAAAAGAAGAGAGGGAAAGGTACTTAATAATTAAAACCAAGTTTAGGTAATGGTTCTTTTTTTAATAGTTTTTACTAGATTATTGACTTGTATCATATTGTGGATCGGATAATATTTTTTTAATGTAAAACAAATGTTCAATCATTGTTAATGTGTTTCATAATAATAAAAAATAATAATTATGAACTCAAAATACAATACATGTTGGACAATAATTTTTTAAAATATTGATACAATGACATATTGCATGATGTTTGTTTTCAAACATTAAGACAATGAAATATTGGATCGACCTGATTTAACTTGTTAAATCTTTGACTCAGATCATGAGACCGTGATAACACTATAAATAACAAATCAAACTATGAAGGTCAATTCCTAATCAACATAATATTGAAGGATGCAATTGAAAAAACAAATATTAAATTAAAAAATGATAAAGAAACTACTCATATGAACCCATGTAAACTTGTCAAATAAGCAATTTTGATTATGAGATTGAAATAACCTCATAGAAAGAAAATATAAAAATTATGAATCTCAATTTTCAATTAACCCAATATTGAAGGATGGAATATTTTTTTAAAAAATATTCAATTAAAAAACCTAAAAAATATTCAACTGCCACACTCATGAATCAGGTCATGAGATTGGGATAAACCTATAGAAAACAAATAAAAAGAAATGAAGCTCAATTTAAAAAATGTATATTTAATTAGAAAAGTATAAAAAAATAACCAAAGTCAACCTGAATTAATCTATCAAACTCGCATCCTAAGTTATGATATTAAGATAACCTCGTAGAAAGAGAATAAAAAATAATTATGATGCCTAATTTCCAACTAATATAATGTTAAAGAATGAAAAAAATAATTTAAAAAAGCAGCAGAAAATATAGCATGAATCAACCAAGCTAACTTTTTAAACTAATGAGTTGAATCATGTGATCAAGATGAAGTCATGAAAAGAAATTTTAAAAAAATACAAATCTCCACTTTCAGTATATCTAATAGTGAAAGATGAAATTAAAAGAAAAAGAAAGCTACATCCATGATAATAGTATATAACCTAAAAAAAAAGGTTGGAAGAAATTATAAAGTAAAATTTCCAAAACAATATAATATTAAAATATAAAATCGTAAAGAAGAAGAAGAAGAAGATTGGATCGGTAAAAGATGAAAATGAAGAAAAAAAAGAAAAAAAAACACAAAATATTATTCTAATAAATAGTATTGGGAGGTGTGATAATGTTTTGTTAATAACTAGCTAGATGACCCAAATTGTGCCTTGGCCAAGCTAAATTATTTTCACAACATAAAAAGGTATTTATGTGACATAATCATTTTCGAAGAAGTAAAAAAAATATAAGATTAAGGTAATTAAAAAAGATTGTCTGTGTTGTTAGAACAATGACCCAAAAAACAAACAAAAAAAGTACTATAAAACACGTATTTCATATTTAAATTTAATCAATTAATTAAATTAAATTAAAAAATAAAAATCCTTGTAAGAAATATAAATTCAACGAAGACCCAAAAAAAGCTTGAGATAACCCCTATTTTTGCATGAAAAAATGGAAATTCCCATAGAAAAAGAAAGATAGAACAAAGAAGCATGAAAACATTTACGGATGAAACCCAAAAAAAAAACTAAAAAAAAAAGAAAAAACCAATTAAATCCATATAAACCTTCAAAATCCAAGTTAATATCTCAAATTCATAGCTTGCTAAATTCTATACCCACTTAACCAAAAAACTTAATATCCAACTAATTTAATGTTGAATGATAAAAAAATTAATTTAATTTAATTAAAAAATCCTCTTAAAAAAGCAAGATCTAACAAGGATGGGAAAAAAACTCAAGGCAATATCTGACCAATGTAATGTCTAAATATGAAATAAATTAATTTAATTTAATTAACAAAAATTTCTTTTAAAAACTCTTGATCCAACAAAGACAAAAAAAAAAGGACAGCTTGTGTTATTCTCAAAATGTTTGAAAAATTTTGTAACAAATAAAAAAAAGTACTAGAGGATGTAACAAAAAACCATTAAAAAAAACCAAGCAACCACAGTAAGCCTCCTGAACCCAAATAATTGGATTAACATCTCAAGCTCACAATCTGTTAAACTCTAAATTCGAGCTCAATCAAAAAACTCAACACTTTACATATTTAATATGAAAGGATAGAACCACAAAAAAAAAATTAATGTTAATTAATAATTGAGACTCGAGGAGGCTGCTTGACTTGTGTTTCAATAATTGTACGCGATGAGTTGTTCTTGTAGCTTCTGCTGTATTCACTATATGGGGCCTAGCTTAGCTGGTAGCATGTAATTTATAAGTGCTCTTCCATGGCTGCTACCCACCCGCCAAAGCAAGTGTCCACATCACGGGTAAACAAATAACACTGTCCTGGCCTGACCCTCATCTCAAGGCTCTATGAGCTCTGCTATCTGTTTGCACATGCAATCAATTTCTCGAATCCTTGTCACTTTATGATTTGGTTTCACATACTGTCATTGTTTGAGTCGGTAAAGTGAATATGGCAAGATTTCTATGTGATTTTAAGTTGGATTTTTCTCTCAGTAGTATTAAAGGCTACATATTTACAGGGTGTAAGTCTTGTTTCACAAGTATTGTTAATATGCTTCCTATGTGATCTCAAGTTTGTTTCTTTTTGCTCACTGATATTGATGGCTACAGACTGTAAGTTTCATTTACAAATTTTGTTCAGACCTGCAAATTCAGCCGAGATACCAAATATATTGGTTTCAGATATCCGAAAGGCGCAATCCTGGGGTGAAATTAATGAAATGTGACGAAGCTTTTGGTTGACATGAGAGATAATTGACAGGCAGCCATGTTGCGCGATGTCACTTCACTTTTCCTTTTTGGTTTCTGCAGTTTGACTTTCGATGATTATATGTCACAGTGTTCATCTCAGCCTTTCTCTTATTGTTCAAATCGCACCCATCTGCCACTGCAGATCATGCTTAAAATCCACGTGATTGGGGGAGAAAGATGCTCATCTCAGCCGTTCTCTTATTATTCAAATCACCGCACCCTTCTGCCACTGCAGATCATGCTTAAAATTCACGTGCTTGGGTGAGAAAGATGCTCAATACGTAAAAATTAACAACAAAATTGCTGCTAAATGTGTCCACACTTGTTTTCCGTCAGTCTAGTCGTGTAGCTTGGGCTTCCCTTGTCGATGTGACAATAGGAGGACTCAAACATGGGGATGGTTAGACTCGGGTAGCTTGGGCTTCCTTTTTCCATACTTGTTATATTTATATTTGTTTTTATATTTTAAAGATAGTTTTTAAAAAATAATTTTTTTAATTTTTTATTTTAAATTAATATTTTTAAATTATTTTAACCTGCTGATATTAAAATATTTTTTAAAAAATTAAAAAATATTATTTTAATATATTTTTAAATAAAAAATATTTTAAAAAATATCAACTGAACATGCGTGATTAAATTTAATTTAAATTTGAACCGGTCAAAGAGATATATATAATTAAAGAGATTGTTGGATTGATATAAAATAGTGTCTAAATGTAAGAGATAGTCATAATTTTTCTTTTTAAATTATTTATTCCCTGAACAACTCAATTTTATTTTGGACTCTTGTTTTACACTTTAGCCTTTTCTTTTGGACTCTTGTTGTACACTTTAGCTTGGTTTTCTAGACAACTTTATTTATTTTATCCTGATCCCTTATTCTTCTTCTTTTGCACTCTATTCCCTTGTCCACTTTACTCCCATTTGTCCTTTTATTTTCTTACTTTTTTTGTATTTTGATTAAAAAACAATATTAACATCTATTTGGTAATAAAAGTAAGTAAAAAAATGAAATGGCATAAATATATTGAAAATATATTTCTTTGAATTTGATTTTTTTAAAAGATAGTAACAAGAGAAAAATAATTAAAAATTACGAAAAAAAGAGTGTGAATGGTCGTCATGCATTAAAAACAATTTATTTTTAATTTTTTTTAGAATATTTTGAAAATAAAACCATAATTGAGTAAGATAATAGTTACAAAACTTAATTTGAAAGTCAAACTTTGCTTGAAATTCAAGTCACAAGTTCGGGGTTGACCAAGATAAATCCAAGTCTTGAATTTTTTTAAAAACAATTCTTGAAATGACATTGTTTCGGTAAAGAAAAATAAGTTTTTTCATTATCCTATCCCTGGCCATATCTTAAATTAACGAATCACTGGGTTGATCAGCCAAATTAATATAATATTATTAGCAGGATTATATCTGTTAATAAGATATTATACAGACTTGCATGAAACACAAAATTAACTATATATGTATTTTGTACCAGAGACATGATTTTTTTTTTTTTATCAATGATATGAATTTGTCCATGCTTGCACATCTAATCTTACATATATTCATCCATTTTTAGAATTACGTTTAAAAAAAAATATGAAATGGACATAAATATATCAAAAATATATTTCTTTGAATTTAATTTTTTAAAAAGATATTAACAAGAGAAAAATAATTAAAAACAATTGAGTGCGGGTAATCCATTCAAAACAAAAAAAAAAAGAGTGCGAATGGCCGTAATGCATTAAAAATAATTTATTTTTAAATTTTGTTAGAATATTTTGGAAATAAAACACTAATTGAGTACAAAAATAGTTATAAAACTTAATTTGAAAGTCTTGAAATTCAAGTCATAAGTTAGGGGTTGACCAAGATAAATCCAAGTCTTGAATTTTTTTAAAAACAATTCTTGAAATGACATTGTTTCGGTAAAGAAAAATAAGTTTTTTCATTATCCTATCCCTGGCCATATCTTAAATTAACGAATCACTGGGTTGATCAGCCAAATTAATATAATATTATTAGCAGGATTATATCTGTTAATAAGATATTATACAGACTTGCATGAAACACAAAATTAACTATATATATGTATTTTGTACCGAAGACATGATTTTTTTTGTCAATGACATGATTTGTCCATGCTTGCACATCTAATCTCACATATATTCATCCATTTTTAGAATTACGTGTGTGTGTATAATTGAATTAAGGCCATATAGGCAGCATTAACTATAACGGCATGCCATAAATTAAGGATTAATTGTTTATTAGACTAGAAAAAAATTATTGAAAAAACCATAAAGAGTCGGTGATGATCACAATAAAGCACCGGAATGTTATGGGCATTCTGCATTCTTCCCCTAGCTTTGGCCAGAAAAGAAAATGCATGCAATGGAGTCCCTGGATATATCCTTGCAAAGGCGAGAAGATGTCTTTGACCTATTTCTTTTCTTTTTATAGTGGAGGTAGGCTTTGTAACAAATAATGGCCCATGATAATGACTTCTTTCATGTTTGGTGCACTGTTCTTACATTGCAATTATTGTTTGTAAGATTAGTACTAGCACTTAGAACAGTGTAGCCATATGAAGTATAGATGATAAGGATTTTCAACATTTCTAGTTACCAACTCTCTTGATTTGATATGTATCATTCGAGCATAATCAGTTAATTATTGAGATCATAATGGAAAGTCAGGATGGGCACTAGAAGTAATTAAAGCTAAAACAAAGCAAAACCACAAATAATTAGCTAAGAGACCTGCATTAAAAAGTGGATACAAGATGATCGATCATCCCCAGGACCACATCGCAGATATGCTTCAAACCATCCTCTCTACGTGCAAGTTCGGAAGGATAAGCCAGTCCAGGGTACCTTCTAAATGCATTACGGCAAGCATTTGGATAATCCGAGGCTCCCATGACATGCATATAAGCATAGTCATATGACTCTGTGGCCAGATCTTGAACCGAATCTTGAAGAGCATTAGCAGCATAACCGTACTTGTCTGCACATTCTCTCAGTACCTTCTTCATGGTGGGGTCATTTGGTGTAGTACTGCTAAGCAATTGAGATGATAAATAAGATGATGTGGCCGTGGCATTAGCCATTCCAACACCAATCATGATAAGTGCAAGACCTTTGGTGTCTGTTTTTGAGCTTGTGGCGTTAGTTTTGAGAGATGAGACACAAAGGTCGTAATACTTGGTGTTCTTGCAAGTTTCCTGGATCAGTTTCATGTCTCCATTAACGAAAATTAATGGTTGGTGAAACATGTAGTGAGGGAAAACCAGGGAGAGAAGAAAGAACACGAAAATTGTTGACCGCATTTGAGAGAGTGAGAGCAGCGAAAGTGACGGAAGTTTGATAATAGCCTTCCCCAGTTTCTTGTGTGAGGAGAAAGGAGGAGAGGGAGAAGTGTTTGACAATTAAAGCCAAGTTTAGGCGATGGCCCTTTTCTTTAATACTCTTTATAATTCAGAATACAGGAGGCTGTTTGACTTGTGATGGCCATAATTTTCAATAATTGTACAGAATGAGTTGGTTCTGTAGCCTGTGCTTTATTCATTGTTTAAGGCCTAGCTTGGCTCGTAGCATGGAATTTATGAGCTCTTGCTTGGCTGCTGCCGGCCTGCCAAAGCAAGTGTTCACGGGCAAACAAATAACACTGTCCTGGTCTGACCCTCTTTTCAATGTCCAAGGCTCTTTGAGTTCTGCTATCTGTCGGCATATGCAGTCAATTTCTTGAATCCTTGTCACTTGGCAAGCCTTACAGAGAATCCGAACCATTCAATTATTGAGCTCCGAGAGTCTTTCTGAAGCCTATCACTTCACAATCGTTATCATAATTGAGGCTAGTGCTAGGGAAATCAACATCTTGCATGATCCACGAGAATCAATTAGACTCCTCGATATATAGATTATTTTTAAAAAGAACTTAGCACTGTAATCTAAAAGTTAGAGCAGAATAATGATACTTGTAAAATATTTAGGTAAAATAATATATTTTTATTTTATTGCATTTTAAAAGTATAATATTTATTAAAATTATTATTATTTTTAAACATAATAATCATGTTTTTAAAATGCGACATGCATATTGTAAAGTTTAAATGCTATCTCAAATCAACTAATTGGTGTTGTCATTTAAAACCTTAATATTTAATTAATATTGCTTTTTAGGAACATTACAATAATTACATGTTGAAATGTGACATTAAATTGGTGTTGCATTAATTTGTCATTTATTTTGATTTTGCATGCTAATGTCGTAATAACCACCTGGACGAGACAATCACCATAGAATAGATGCGACTACATAACCATCATCATTGATTGCTAATGATTTCACATAATGACTTAATTAGCTTCTTGAATGCTTTGATTAAGAGATATTACGCATGTTAGCAAGGGCGGAGGTAGAAATTTTTCTTATCCTAGGCTATATAAATTATTTTTTTAAATTAATTATTCACTTGAATATATAAATTTGCTAGGTTAACAGTAAAATTTTAATTCAAATATGTAACATAAAATATATAAAAAATAAATTTTAAAGTACATAAAATTAAAAATAAAAATAAATTATACCATTAAAGTTGCATCCTTCAATATTTTGTAAAATATAATTCATCTATTATCGAATTCGAATTAATATCTTTAACAAGCTCTCGTTCAATGTAAATTATCAAAGAATCTGCTAAAAGCTCCTCTTTCATTTTATGGCGAGGTATAGTTTTAACATGTTTCACTGTCCCATTATCGAATCTAGAATTTAATTCTCCTGACTGAAAATAAATTGTTGAGTTAAATATATCATAATGATAATGCTGGTAAATTGTCGCTGAACCTTATTGTTGATATGAGCAACCTGTATTTTTTTTATACAAAGCATTCATATGTGATATGTCAATTTTATATTTTGTGCAAACAGATTGCACATTTCCAAGATGAAGATCAAATCCAACATCTCTTAAAGTTCGAAGTAATGTTTTAGTAATTAATACAAGATCCATTGCATTTAAGATGTTAAGAGATTTTTGCTGCAAAACTCGACAAAGTAAATCAGTAGTCCATATTATTTTATGCATAAAATATAAGATGAATATAAAATTCAAAAGATTTCATCACGATCAAACAACCACCAGCTTCTTCATGTATAGAGTTAGAAGATCCTTCTTGAACCATACTTACAAGCACAGTAATAGTTGCACTATAAATATCTATTAAGTTGCAAATAGAATCAAAATGAGAGCTCTAAGGTGTAATTCCACTTCGATGTAAATTACCGATTTGATTAGCCACTCTACCAGTCTCACGTTCTTCGATAGTTACCATATATGCAATTTCTACAGCCTAAGCATATTGTAATTTGATATGATGTTCGGGAGAAACACTAATAATATTGATAATGATTGTTAATTTTGAGAAAAATAACCTGATATGATTAATTAATATAAGTGTGTATGCCCTACAAAACACAATTGATCATAATTATTATTTTTTTAATCCAAATTGTTCATGTTTTGACACTCTTTAGTGATATATAGTTAGTTTATTTTTAGGTTTTAAAAATATTTTTAAAAAATAAATTTATTTTTTATTTTAAATTATTTTTTTTAGTGTTTTCAGATCGTTAATTTTCAGATTGTTTTAATGTGATGATATCAAAACTGATTTTTAAAAATAAAAAAAATATTATTTTAATATATTTTTAAATAAAAAATACTTTAAAAAGTAACCACTGCCACAAACATAAACACCCCAAACAAAATATATTTTATAATTAATTACATACAAAAAAATTTATTTTCTACGGGTTGCAATTATAATGCTGTATCCTTATTTTTATCTATACTCTTCTTCTTTGTATAATTTTGTGTTTAGAAAGCCTCATAATTCATAAAAGTTCAATTGTTTAAATGTGTTTTTTTTTTTTATTAAACAAAATATTATTTGTTACTTAGGTTACAGCCCACCTGAGCCTTGTACAAGGCTCCGCCCTTGCATGTTAGGAAGAATGAATAACATTATAATATAAAATCGGCAGAAGAATTGTAAGGGAACTCCGGCCACACCACTGAGCGCCTTAACGCATGATAGTTATATCAAGAACAACAATTGAAGTTGCCATTCTGGCCAGGCTTCAGGATTTATATCAAAGTTTTCTATCCACAAAGTGAAAGAAAAAGAACATGTGATTCTTTGATTTATATTTACGTGCCAGAAATGGGCTAATTATATATATTTTTGCCATCAACAATGAAAGAAATTACATACTGATGCTCAAACACAGAAACTTTATTTAATCAACAATCTCAAACAAGATTTTATTGTTTCCGGTCACACTAAGGCAAACAAAACCAGTCTTCTTTTATGCACCCATACGGATAATACACCTCAGGCCAGCTCCACTAAGCATGTACTCGAAAGCCTTGTTGATTTCTGAGAAAGGGACTTCATGGGTGATGAATTTCTCTAGCTCCAGCTCCTGTCACATTACAACTAGAGAAGTTAACAGTGCAGGAGATTGCATCAAAATAAAACGAAGGAATTGGAGTTGTTAACAATGTAAAGATGATCATTCAAGTTGATGTCTTGACCGATTTTATCTTTAGCTTCCCTCTAAGAAATACCAACAGAGGCCATAATTCTAGTCGACTACACGTGCAAGTATGGAAATATATGTTCATACTGCATGCTGGCTGGATAAGATTAATGGGAACTCCGATTTACCTTGTTCATGTACTTCTCGACAACTGAAGGAAGGTCGGAGCGCGGTTTGTAGTTGCCGAAGAAAGTGCCCTTGAGAGTCCTCTCATTCAGGAAATTCACTGGATGGGTTTTGAAAGAATCATCTTTGTTCGGCACACCAACAAGCACAGCAACGCCCCATCCATCATGGACGCATTCAAATGCAGAAATCATGGCATGGAAACTTCCAGTACATTCGACACTTCGATCAACTCCTCCATCGGTCATTTCAGCTATCACCTGAACACAGTAAATCAAATTTAGGACAGATGTAAAGGATTCGCCGATGCTAGTGCTCAGAACACGATTCTGTTTGCCACTTACCTCTTGAACAGGCTTGTTATGATCTTTTGGGTTCACAAACTCAGTGACACCAAACTTCTTGGCTGTTGAAAAAACATAAATGAACATCAGAACGCATTATTGTTGAAAAAACACAAATGAACATCAGAAAGCATTATTATCACCAAGAATCAACATTAAAGCCACTTAAATTTATCAGTTTTGTGATACTAGCTATTAGACTGAGCAAAGCATCAATCAATAATTTAAGAGAAATGCTCAGCAGCCACAATGAACAACATCATAGCTTCTCTCACCTTCATCGAATCTATTGGAATTCAAATCGACACCAATGATTCTTGAAGCACCAGCAATCCGAGCTCCTTCAGCGGCCTGGATTGGGAAAAAAGAACACGAACAAGTTCTGCATTAGCGTGACCAGCTGCTTGAACAGAAAAAATTATCATTAATGTACAAGTATAAACAAACTTACAGCAAGGCCTACAGCTCCCAGTCCGAAAATGGCTACCGACGAGCCTTTCTTTGGTTTTGCAACATTCAGGGTGGCACCAAGACCTACAAGTCAAAAAGAGAAATCCCCATTACAAGAAAGCAACAAATCGCCCATTCAATGGTTTTTATCGAATCGTGTATTTCTCCCCACCTGTAGAGATTCCACAGCTGAGAACACAGACTTTGTCAAGAGGAGCAGCAGGATTGATCTTGGCAACACAGCCAACATGAACCACAGTGTACTCGCTAAAGGTTGAGGTGCCAACAAAATGGTAAATGGGCTGCCCTCTGATCGAAAACCTTGGCTTGCCATCGTTCAGCATCACACCCCTGTCAGTGTTAATCCT